CAGAGGGAAACATGAGGCTATATATACAACGAGAAGATCAACTTGATTGGAAATCAAGTTGATTCTTCGTATACATACTTCGGGATTAATTCCGATGGTTCGGCTTGGTTCCTGATCTGCACCAGCCTCATATCACAACACAAATGAAGCGGGTCACAAAAGGGAAAAAGGAAAGGAAAAGATAGAAACAGAGAGGCAAGTGGGGGAAGAGAGGGAGACGAGGTAAAGAGGCAAGGAAGGATGAAAGCATGGTCAAAAGATCGCGAGAGATGGTGAAAGATGATGAAGGGGTAACCGAGTAGACTCGGTCAAATATTTGCGATACCGTGTCCGGGAACGGGATGCGCAATCTGTGCGGGCATTAGTCTGTTCAGATGCCCAGGCGGGCGCGTCACTTCACCGCCTTCTGGCCGGTCCCTCTAATCGATTGTTGTTGTCCTGGACCATCAACATTTGCTGGTGCTCGGGAAGGCCCGGGACTAGTCCTTATGAGGAAGCTGTCCAGGGGATCAATTTGAAGCCCACCTGGGGAATCCGAATGCGCACCGAAGAAATATTATGTCCTAGTGTTTCGACCTCTGGGCTGAGGGCGTAGAACAAAGAGACTAACACATGGGTATACTGGAGTCTGCATACACGATTACCCTAGGCTACTACAAATGTAGGCCTTATCGCTCACGATTGTAATCATGCGCATCAATGTCCTATACATTTGGTGCATGAATGGCCAATGATATATGTGTATCACGACGGACACTAGCTACTCCAGCGTGTCCGGCACAACCGGCTTCTGATAACTCCACGAGACACATAGAGAATCGACAGGCATGCCAAAATTGAATGTATTGACCAGAGTGCAAAAAGTGTGGACATACTGATCACATCTCACGCATCGGAACCTGATCTCCTTTCAAGTTGATAGACGGTGTAGGTTGCGCATTTGCCAAATGAGCAAATTGGGCAACATATATGGAGAGCATGAACTTCTTCCTCGAATTTTCCTTGCTCCATTCCACCGAGGACAGCAGCTGGTGAAAGTATACAGAATTTTACTCTCAGATTCAGCCATGCTTCTTGCCAGAGTTTTGACTGAATGGGCGCTATCTACCGCCATGGTGAGCACACAAATGACCCGACACTTGAAATTATACCGGGTCTTTTGAATTGGCAGACCATAGATATGCGGATTTGTGATTCACCGAAGGGATCCGGAGGCGTGGGACGGTCGGATGGTATGGCAATGCAAAAGGACATGTGTAGTGGGCAGACAGATGCCAGGAAGTCCGTCCTAGCACATCAAATCCTCCGTGTTGCGAACCTACCGAGCTTCCTATGAGGCGTGAGTTGGGGTTCTCTTGACACAACGTTCACTAAGGGATCATCTAGATGAATCGAACAAACGACGGGGCAGCCGTCTTCGCAGACCACACCATGCGCATCATCCTCATCGGCCAACCTAGCCGACCTAGAAGCCCCCAAGACCAACCCAAGACCCCTGATTATACGCAACAAGCTGTTGGTTAATCAGGTGAACTAGCAAGCCTATGATCCCGAGCAAACGAAGGCGGGGCTTCTCGAGGGCTGGCATGTTCATTCTTAGAAATGCGGTTACTCTTTCCCTGACGTAGCGATCAGCTTCCGGCTATCCTTCACAATTCCCCACGAACAATTGTCACAAAATTCTTCCTTCACCTGTCCTTGTTGTGTTAGCCGTTGTGGTCATTGGAACATGTCGTACTTTAACCAGAGGAATGCCCGTGGCGGCTGTAGGTAGACCATATAATTGCACCAGCTTCCCAACACCCTCTACTATACAGAATTCAGTGAGCATACTCCTTAGCGACGGCGGGCTCATCTACGAAAAGTATCTGGACACGGGGACGGGCACTCGTATTTCTGACTTTCACTTGAGCCGGCCATGCCAGCCGCGAGAAGAGACGTTCGTGGCACCGTTTGGTTCGGACGAACTAGACCGCCTGTGGTCTCTACGCAACATGCAGCGACAATTACTACCTCGGATCATGTCCCAAGCAACCAGGCGTTCAGTCGTGCCACTTCCGGGCTGAATTGTCTACCGCCACAGCAGTTCGCTCCCAACCCGGCTCCCCGCGAGATCCTAGCACAAAGCCCTTGGGAGGTATATGAACCTCGCGCCTGCATCTACTATGGGCGAATCATGGTGCTGGCTAGGCATCGAAAGAATAAGGCCACCTTAGTCCACATCCAGATGCAGGCCGTGGAGCGATCGGCAATAGAGATGTGTGTCCAAATGATTGATCTGCTAGCTCATCGCAGTATCCCGCGCCTTCTAGATGTGTTCCAGTATGCAGAACGATATCTTCTTGTGTGGGAGCCCTTCGAGTGCACTCTCCACGAAGTTTTAGCGCTGAGCTGTCGCATCACCGAAAGTGAAGTGGCCCAGATCTTGTGGCCTGTAGGTGCCGTTCCCATCCTACTAGGCACAAGATCGTTCATTCATGGTTCACAGGTGTTCAGGTGCCTTCAATTCTTACGCGGCCAGTCCAGGGAGCTGGCCAGCCTCACACCTCGAGATATCTTGTTCACCGAGGAGGGTGAAATAAAAATTGGTATGTCCGTCCCAGCGACAGACCGCACGACACTGATATCGAGTGAGGTATAGCGGGTATCGAGAACAGTCGCCAAGTCGACCCTTCCCGGGCCGACGCAATGACTTCTACATTCAATGCTCTACGGTCGATTCTCGACAAGATCATGCAGAAAAATGGCTCCAATTTTACTTGGAGCCAGGAGATCCGAAGCCTTAAATCGGCGCTGGCCAAAAGCACCTCCGCGCGATGCTTGGATAGATTAGTGCAAGTAAGTTGGCTCATATTCCAGCCTCGTCATGCGATGTGGCAACTGACTTGAAA